TTCACGAGGTGAAGGTTACACCCCTTAATGATCCAGGAGATCGTCAACTCCAATAGGTCTAGAACCATGACTGGCAGTTCGGGGATGAAGGTACAAATCCAACCTAAAACAGATTGAACCTGCCCTAATAATAGGCCTCTACTTTATTCTGATCGTATTCATGTGCGCTTTCTGACTAACATGCAATCAATAGGTTTACCCTAAACCTGTTTATCTATGTTGGTTGAATATTAATGCACAAATAAATCTATTATTGGCGATCACTTGAATTATAATCAAATTAACCCTAAACAAGATTATTAATTATCTTATTAAGCGTGATTACAAGTACAAATTCCCTTTAAACATGCATAAAATGTGTGATCAAGCAATAACAATAAAAATCAAGCAACATAATAAATAATCATCATAAAAATAATAATAAAAATTATAATTATGACAATTATAAATAATCATGATCATGTTAAAGCATAACAATAGCAAGATCATAGGCATGATACTAACAAGATTAATAACAAACCCTAACATGACACTAAACATCAAAAATCAAATCTTCAACCCTAACATGATACTAATAATCATAAATATTAGGAAGAAAATAAGAGGCATCATACTTTAATCATACTTGATATTAAAGTTACCCTAGACATGATACTAGGAATTTATTGTTGTCACCCTAAACATCAAATTAAATAAAACATCCTAACATGATACTAGGAATCATAATAACAACCTAAGCATGATTTCTATATAATAACATCAATAAAAACCATTAAAGTACTTACTTGGATGCCTCGTACCTCTTTCTAATAACAAAATACACGTGTTAGTAACTTCAAGGAAAATAATAATCAAAACAATTAAATTAAATAATTGAAATAGAGATTTGGGACCAAACCCTCAGAAATTAAAACCTTTCACGTCTAGGGCGAAGGCAACTTCGAATATGGCTAGGTGTATCTAAGTCTTGCGAATGTGGAATTTTGTATTTTGAGAAAAGGCTAGTTTAGAAAAGAGAGAGAAAGAGTAATAAAGAGATTCTTGATGAGAGTTGGTGAATCAAAACGGAGTTTTTAGGAGGCTATTCATAGAGAAAATAAGCCAAAAAGATAAAAAATCAAAACAGAGTTCTGACGCGTAAAACGAGGTTTGGCGCCAGACGCTAACGCTAGCGCCAGGCGCCAAGCTTAGTGTCAGGCGCTAATGCTGGTGTTTGGCGCTGACTAAAATATTGACGCGTTTTCTAAAATCAGATAGAAATTGCCGTACAGGAGGATAAAATCGTATTTTCCTCAAAAACATTCTTTTATTCTGATTAAAACTCTAAAAAGTCAAAAAAAGTCAATTTATCAATGCTAATTGAATTAGGAATGAAAAGAACCTTCTAGAAGAATCTAGAAGACTAAAACCATTCCTAATTGCATTAAGAATGATAAATCCATATTAGGCCCTCCTCTAGATCATTGGGCCGCATATGAGGCTCAAACCGGGCCCATTTCAGTAAAATTGGGCTTATAATATATCGTTGGAAAGCTCTTTTCAAATCCTATCCAACTACACTACTATTAGACCCATATAATAGACCAAACAAACTGTATTGGTTATTTTCTTAAAATAGGTTTTCAAAAACAGAGAGAAGAGAAAAGAAATTAAAACTATCCACAACACTAAACTTTCCACACTTTCATTTCATTCGATTATGATTCGACGTGAAAGAACTCATCACTGGGTTTGATTTTGGGGAGACACAAATGGGTGTCTACAACTATTGACTTTACTAGTTGTGCATGAACAATTTATTATCATAACCCTTTTATAAAATTAACACTTGTATTTATGAAATAATCTTTAATGATCCATAATAATAATAACAATTATAATAATAATAATAATAATAATAATAATAATAATAATAATAATAATAATAAGGTAGTAGTAATACTTTCGTAAGTAGTTGTATATGTGAGTAGTAGTAGTCTAGAAGGTATAGTAGTATGTAAATAGGAGTAGTAGTCATAATAATAATAATAATAATAATAATAATAATAATAATAATAATAATAATAATAATAATAATAATAATAATAAGAAGAAGAAGAAGAAGAAGAAGAAGAAGAAGAAGAAGAAGTAGTACGTAGCATTGGTGTAGTAGTAGTAGTAGTAGTAGTAGTAGTAGTAGTAGTAGTAGTAGTAGTAGTAGTAGTAGTAGTAGTAGTAGTAGTAGTAGTAGTAGTAGTAGTAGTAGTAGTAGTAGTAGTAGTAGTAGTAGTAGTAGTAGTAGTAATAGTAGTTGAGAAGAGTAGCAGTAGTAGTATTAGTAGTACTAAAATGAGAAATATATGGCTTACTTACGGTGAGCAACGCAAGGAAGGAGATGGCAACAAGGTCGTGGTCGAATGGCGGCGGTATGGTGGCAGCGAGGAGGTGCTCGTGAGGAGCTCAACACCATAAATGAAAGCTAAAAGGAGGTGAGTGTGGAGGAGGAAGGAGAAAGGAGAAGGAAAGTAAGAAGAGAAGTAGGAGATGTGATGAAAATAGCTCATGTTCCATGGCTATTTATAGGGAAGTTTGGTACTACTTCAAGGTCTTCAACCATGGCATTCAATGAAGGAGGCAAGTGGGCAAGTGGATGGGTTTTCCCCCTTTATTTGCCGACATGCTCAAATTTATTTATTTATTTAGTATATATATATATATATATATATATATATATATATATATATATATATATATATATATATATATATATTGAAGTAGAATGCTAGGCAAATTGATGTATTGTTTTTGTGTAGTACTAGTGTACTACACATATGAATTGAACTTGTATATAAAAAGCGAATTTGGTACTTTGTTGTCTAAATCGGGTATAAAGTATTAACGGTTGAAAATTTGGTTTATATATGACAAACTTTGACTTGACTCATATAATTAAAATCTTTATAAAATATAATTATAAAATTATCATATAAATATTTTGTATGATAAAATATTTTGAAAAATCCATATTTAATAGTTATTAAATGACTTTAAAATACGGGGTATTACAAGTACAAATATCATTGAGGGCTCCGGAAGAGCCACTATAAAATTGCCTTGGGGAACTGAAATTAAAATAATTGATGCTTTATACTCCCCATTGTCTCACAGAAATTTATTAAGTTTTAAAGATATTCGCAACAATGGTTATCATATTGAGACAATCAATGAAGAAAATAACGAATTCCTTCAAATCAGAAATATAACTCAAGGCACAAAATATGTTTTGGAGAACTTCCTTACATTCTCCAGTGGTTTGTACTACACAAAAATCAATACTGCTATAGTAAACCAGAAGTTTACTGATAATTTTGTTGTTTGGCATGACCGGTTAGGCCACCCTAGTTCAATAATGATGCGAAAAGTAATAACGAATTCATGTGGACATTCTTTAAAGAGCCAGCATATTCTTCATAATAATTTTTCATGTGCTGCTTGCTCAGAAAGCAAGTTAATAATTCGTCCATCACCAGCTAAAATTAATTTTAAATCAATTAGTTTTCTGGAACGTATACAAGGAGATATTTGTGGGCCCATACATCCCCCATGTGGACCATTTAGATATATTATGGTTTTAATTGATGCATCAACTAGATGGTCACATGTGTCTTTGTTATCAACTCGTAATCTGGCGTTTACGAGATTACTTGCCTAATTGATTAAGTTACGGGCACATTTTCCATATACTCCCATTAAGACTATTCGGCTTGATAATGCTGGTGAATTTACATCTCAAGCTTTCAATGATTATTGCATGTCCATTGGGATAAAAGTTGAACATCCTGTAGCTTATGTTCATACACAAAACGGTCTAGCAGAGTCATTAATTAAACGTATTTAGTTAATTGCTAGACCATTTCTTATGAAATCCAATCTCCCAATTTCTGCTTGGGGACATGCTATATTACATATGGTAGCTCTAATTCGCATTAGTCCAACAAGTTATCACAAGTTATCCCCCTTACAATTGGTTTATGGTCAAGAACTAAATATTTCCCATCTAAGAATTTTTGGATGTGCGGTTTATGTTCCAATAGCTCCACCACAACCCTCTAAGATGGGTCCTCAAAGGAGGTTGGGAATATATGTTGGGTTTGAATCCCCGTCAATAATTGAATACCTTGAGCCTACAACAGGGGATTTATTTACGGCTCGTTTTGCAAATTGTCATTTTAACGAGTCATTTTTCCCAACATTAGGGGGAAAAAAGAGAGTTGGAAAAGGAAATTAAATGGAATGAATTATCATTATCATATCTTGATCCTCGAACTAAACAATGTGAACTAGAAGTTCAAAAGATAATTCATTTACAAAGTTTAGCGAATCAATTGCTTGACTCGTTTGCTGACCCAAAAAGAGTGACCAAGTCACATATTCCAGCTGTAAATGCTCCATTTACAGTAGATGTCCCGGAAGGACAAAATAAATTTGCTAATGAGTCTAAACCACGTCAGAAACGTGGAAGACCAATAGGTTCCAAAGATAAGAATCCTCGGAAAAGAAAAGGAGCATTGATTGATGATGGTTAAATTGAAGAAACAATTTTCGAAGGATCTCCAAAAGAGAATTTAGACATGATACAGTAAGAAATTCAAGTACCTGATAATGAAGAAATTTCAACAAATTATATCATGTCTGGAATTACATGGAGCCGAAATCAAATCGACGTCGATGATGTTTTTGCATGTAATGTAGCATTAGATGTTATGGATAATAATGAGGATCATGAACCAAAATCCATTGAAGAATGTTGACAAATAAATGATTGGCCAAAATGGAAAGAAGCAATTGAAGCAAAATTAAAATCTCTTGGAAAAAGAGAAGTATTCGGACCTGTAGTCCGTATACCTGAAGGTGTAAAGCCAGTGGGATATAAATAGGTCTTTGTGCGAAAGAGAAATGAAAAGGGTGAAGTTGTAAGATATAAGGCACGCTTAGTTGCACAAGGATTCTCACTAAGACAAGGATACTCTCATGTGGTGGATGCAACTACTTTTAGATTTTTGATTAGTCTGGCAATAAGAGAAGGACTTGATTTACGTTTGATGGATGTAGTCATAGCTTATTTATATGGCCCACTGGATAATGACATATACTTGAACCTCCCAGAAGGATTCAAACTGCCAGAAGCAACAAAATCTAGTTCTCGAGAACATTTATGTATTAAATTGAACAAATTTCTTTATGAATTGAAACAATCTGGCAGGGGCGGACCTATTAAGCCCTTATGGTGAGCAATTGCAGCCCCATTTTGTAAAAAAAAAAATCAGGTATATAAGCCCAAGCTAGTTAAAAAAAAAAAGGCCCAAAAAATTGAACCCCCATTCTAAATGTGTCTGGCACATTACAAACAAGTAGTGGGCTCCTTATTTCTCCAATTAGTGGGCTCTCTATTTCTCCAATTCTCCTAAATGTTTCACGTGATTGGGGTACATAAAAATCAATTTTTTTTTTTAATTTTTTTAAAAGTTCTTGTACAGTCACTGAGTCACTCACCCTTTTCAACCCTTACCCAACTTTCTCTCTCTAACTCAAATGCCTCAATAGCTCAAATGCCCAGATCTACATAGTACTACTACCAAACTACCACCTAACCCAACCTCACAGCTAGTTTTTCCGACCTGAGTTCGCTAGATTGCTGCCGCCTGCCGGAAAAGTTCGTCGCCGTTGACCGCTTCCGAGTTCCGACTTCTCCAAGCAGCAAATTGTCCACATTTGAATTAATATACAAGAATACAAGGTATTAAGGTTAATTAATTTTTCCTTATTGTACAAATTTATGTACTTCTTGCCTTTACTTTGAAATATTTAATCAAGATTCAAGAATTAATTTGTACTTTGTAGAATTAATTTGTGTATTTGATTGATTTAGATTGTACATTATAAATTTCAACTTTAGAGTACTAATTAGACTATTAAAGTGACTGTGTGTAAGTGATTAACTTAGGTAATTGATTAAATTTATATGAAATTGAATGATTGTCTTATTTTAAATTCTAATACTGTGCAATTGCCAATTGTGCAAATGTGACTAATTTTTTTTATTAGTTTGTTTATGACTATTTATTTAGAGTATTCTATTTTTCTATCAGTGAAAGATGGTTGATGATAGGAGTAGTCCTCCCCGTAAGAAAAAAATTGGTTTATTCAAAAATCCAAAAGAAGTGAAGCAAGTTCTTCATCACCAACTCAACCTCCAATAACTCAAACAGAGCAAGAGTGTTCATCCCCATCTAATAACACACCGGAAACTCAGGAAACTGGAACGGGATCAATACCTACTACCAATGGGAGTACAACATTTGCATCAAGGGAGAGACAAAGTGAGCTTGATGTTACTTCATTGCCACATGATCCAGATAAAAGGAGAAAAATTGTGGAGTATCATCCGATGGACCAAGATGCAGTGAGGAGAGTATATATACAGAGAGGTCCTTGTCAGCCACTTACTCACAAATTTCCTCAATCAAACTTCGGAGGAGGTACATTACGTCGCTTTAATCGTTCTTGGTTTAAGAAATATACTTGGCTTGAGTATAGTCAAAAGATGCTACATTTTGCCTTGTGTGCTATTTGTTTAAGAATGAAACTTCTAAAGCTGCAGGGGGGGGGGGATGCATTTGTTGTTAATGGATTTAGAAGTTGGAATAGGCCAGTTAGATTTAGGAAACATATTGGTGGGGTTAATAGTGCTCATAATCAAGATTTACAAAAGTTTGAAGATATAAAAAATCCAAAAACATCCATCCAAACTTCCTTGACTCAAGCTTCAGATCAAGCAAAACATGATTATAGAGTCCGTTTGACTGCTTCACTTCAATGTTTGAGATTTCTTTTGCGCCAAGGATTGGCATTTCGTGGCCATGATGAAAGTGAAGATTCAAATAATAAAGGAAATTTTCTTGAACTTTTACAATGGTTTGCCGAAAAAAATGAAGATGTAGGAAATGTAGTCTTAAAAAATGCTCCAGGGAATAATCAAATGACTACTCCTTCAATTCAAAAAGATCTTATCAATTCTTGTGCTAAAGAAACTACTAAAGCAATTGTGAATGATATTGGTGACGATTATTTTGGCATTTTAGTCGATGAGTCTAGTGATGCATCTCAAAAGGAACAAATGGCTTTGTGTGTGCGTTATGTTGATAAGAAAGGAATGATAATGGAACGGTTTCTTGGGATTGTTCATGTTCGGGACACCACTGCCTTGTCTCTTAAAGAAGCTATCCTTTCTTTGCTTAATGAACATTCTTTGAGTTTGTCTAGAGTTCGGGGGCAAGGATATGATGGGGCTAGTAATATGAAGGGTGAAATTAATGGGCTCAAAACTTTAATCAAGAATGAAACATCTTCTGCATATTACATTCATTGTTTTGCTCACCAACTTCAATTGACTCTTGTTGCCGTTTCTAAGAAAAGAAAAGATTGCGGTTGGCTTTTTGACACACTTTGTGATTTGTTAAATGTTGTTGGAGTATCTTGTAAGAGAAAAGATGTTCTTAGGGGAAAACAAGCTGAAAAAGTTACTAAAGCTATTGAAAATGGTGAACGTGAAAGTGGAAAAAGTAAGAATCAAGAACTTGCCTTAGCTAGGCGATGTGACACACGTTGGGGATCTTGTTATAAATTGATGGTAAATGTGATTGCTTTGTATCCTGCAATTCGTGAGGTGCTTGATTTAATTGGGGATGATGCTAGAAATTGTGATGATGCTCGAAAAGCGGATAATGTGAGTTTTGCAATTGAGTCATTTGATTTTATTTTCATGATCCACTTGATGAAAACAATATTTGGGATTGTAAATGAATTAAATAAGGCTTTGCAAAAAGGAGATCAAGATATTGTTAATGCCATGTCACTTGTTTCTTTGACTAAAGAAAGATTGCAAGACATGAGAGAAAGTGGGTGGGATAATTTCCTTACCACAACCACTACATTCTGTGAGAAAAATGGCATTAGTGTTCTTGATATGAATGGTGTGTATACTCCTCCGGGAAGGAAAAAACGTGGTCGTTTGGATACTACTAATATGCATCATTTTCGAATTGAAGTTTTTTTTAGCGTAATTGATCTTTAACTACAAGAGCTTAATAATCGATTTGATGAGGTTAGTATGGAATTACTTGTTTGCATGGCTTCTTTGAGTCCCGTTGATGTTTTCTCTTCCTTTGATAAACAAAAGATACTAAAACTTGCCGAGTATTATGAAGATGAGTTCTCAAGTGCTGATTTGTTAAGCCTTGATGATCAACTAGGGAACTATATTACTGATATGAGAAGAGATGATAGATTTTGGGGATTAAATGATCTTAGTGAACTCTCCATGAAGTAAGTTGAAACAAAAAAGTGTCAAGTGTTCCAACAGGTTTATTTGCTCATAAAGTTGGTGATGATTCTTCTCGTGGCAACCGCAAGTGTGGAAAGAGCATTTTCATCAATGAATTATGTGAAGAATAAGTTACGAAATAGCATGGGTGATAAATTTTTAAACGATTGTTTGGTTACTTTCATAGAGAGAAACATCTTCCTTGAAATTAGTGATAACGATATTATTAAGCGATTTCAAGAAATGAAAATTCGACGAGAACAATTGTAATTTATTTTTTTTAACTTTGTTTCCCCCTTATGAATGTATTTGGTTTGTATTATTGAAAACAATTTGTAATTTTCGGTGATGTATCTTGACATTTCTTTACTTTGTTGTTCGTACATTGGTATGATTAAGTTGAAAGTTTATTTTGGACCCCCATTTATAAATTCTTGGATCCGCCACTGCAATCTGGGCGTATGTGGTATAACCGTCTAATTGAGTATTTGTTGAAAGAAGGTTATAAGAATGATCCTATCAGCCCATGTATTTTTATAAAGAAATTTGGCTTAGGTTTTTTTATAATTGCGGTGTATGTTGATGATTTGAATATCATTGGAACCCCTTAAGAGATTTAGGTGACTGTCAATTATTTAAAGAAAGAGTTTGAAATGAAAGATCTAGGAAAGACAAAATTATGCTTGGGGTTACAAATCGAGCACCTAGAGAATGAAATCCTTGTGCATCAATCAACATACATAGAAAAGATTCTTAAAAGATTTTTTATGGATACAACACATCCATTGAGCAGCCCTATGGTTGTAAGATCACTTGAAGTAGAGAAAGATCTATTCCGACCTCGGGAAAATGATGAAGAAATTCTTGGTCCTGAAGTATCATATCTTAGTGCAATTGGAGCACTAATGTACCTTGCAAGTCATACACGACCCGACGTATTATTTTCAGTTATTTTATTAGCAAGGTTTAGTTCATGTCAAACCCGAAGACATTGGAATAGGTTTAAACATTTACTTCGTTACCTTCAAGGTACGAAGGATATGGGTTTATTTTTCCCAAAGTTGTTCAAAGAAAATTTGATTGGTTTTCAGATGCAGGTTATTTATCTGATCCTCATAATGGTCGGTCACAAACTGGATATGTGTTCACATATGGTGGTATCGCCATTTCTTGGCGTTCCATGAAACAAACCATTGCACCTACTTCTTTCAATCATTATGAGATTTTAGCAATTCACGAGGCTAGTCGTGAATGTGTATGGTTAAGGTCGGTAGTTCAACATATAAAAGAAGTTTTTTGTTTATTATATGAGGATAAGACATCTTCTATTGCTCAACTTAAGAAAGGATACATCAAAGGCGACAGAACAAAGCACATCTAACCCAAATTTTTCTTCACTCATGATCTTCAGAAGAATGGAGATATAAATGTATTGCAGATTCGTTCAAGTGAGAATTTAGCAGACTTATTCATTAAGGCTCTTCCGACAGCAACATTTAAAAAGTTAGTTTATCGTATTAGATTGCGTCGTCTCAAAGATCTTTAGTGATATAATAATGAGGGGGAGTAATTGCACGCTGCACTCTTTTTCCCTTATCCATGGTTTTTTCACACAGGGTTTTTCATGGAAAGGTTTTTAATGAGGTAGCATATATGTGCATTAAATCTATTTTAGATAATGTCCATCCAAGGGGGAGTGTTATAAAATATGTTAATTATGGATGGCCATTATAGCTTGTAAATATCTCTTTTATGACTACCTTAAGTATGGTAGTAATAACATCCTGGTAACCCTCCATATGTCATTAGGTCTCATTAACCCTCTCATGAATGGACTCTTCATTGTCCATATAAGTTATAATGTTCTATCATGTATATATATATATAGGTGACTCATGAAATGGATGAATATAGACAACACAATTACCTCTTTACATCTCTCTCTCTTATTCTCCCTTTCCCCTTATTTTATACTCCCTCCATTTTTAAATACTTGCTCCATTTCTCCATGCGCGGAGTTTTAGGAGAAATTAGATAAAGTTATAAAATATGGAGGTAGTGGGGTTGGTGGAAGAATAAAGAATTGTAAAAAACAAAAGTAGTGGAGAAATTGGAGGAGAGAGAAGATGAAATTAATAAAATATGATATTTGTTGGGCCCACTAGGTGAGAGAAATGAGTTCAATATTGTAAAAGTTTTCCAAATAAGGAAATGTAGTAAGTATTTAAAAACGGCCGAAAAAGGAAAGTGGAGCAAGTAATTAAAAACGGATGGAGTAATACAGAAGGAGTAGTATCCAAGATTCCAAGAGAGAGTATTTAAAAAACCGAGACAGTATCCAATTAAATTAATAAAATTGTTGCATTCCCAAGAATACTTGTGATATATAGCCATGATAGGAGCGAGAAAGCGGAGGCTACTATGTGAGTGAGCAAGAAAGGAAAAAAAAATGTTAAACTCCTTTCATCTTCCTCTTTACTTTATCTTATTTTTAATTTGGGCGGCAAAATTAATTATTGTTGGTGCTAAATTGTATAACCGTTACGATTTCCTAACTGATTTTATCTTTGGTTCTGGTACCTCTTCTTATCAGGTTACTTTATTTTTTCATTTTGTTATGAGCAAATTAAATTTATTTTAGTGAATTAATTAGCTTTAATTTTGTGGGTTATTTTAAATTTTAAATTTTGAATAATTAATTTTATATATTGATACTATAAAGGTTGAGGGAGCAGCATTTGAAGATGGAAGGAAAGCTAGCGTCTTTGATACCTTTGCTCATTCTTGTATTTTTCTTTAACCTTTACTTACTTATTATCTTAGCAATTAACTTTACAATTACTTCATATACATGCATGTTTGTGGCTTGTCATTAATTATTATAGAGTGAGCACAAATTTACCAACAACTTAGCCCTGTTCTGTTGCGCTAAGCCCTCTTTGTTCTCTGTTGACACTTGTTCTACATTACTTGAGAAGCTCAAAAGAACAAGACGCTATACAAAAAGATCTTGCTATAGAGAGTTCGGGGCGTTCAAAAACCCATTATCGAAGTAATAATACCTAAAATATTAATTTTAAGTTTAAATGTATGTCAAAATCGCATGTCAATTTATAGAATTAATATTTATTTTACTTTAATATTTCCAATGTTACCAAACTCTTAAGGGACCGTTGTTAGCTTTTGCCAAATAAAAAATGCAAATCAAGTGTCAATTTTGTAAACGAAACTAGTGAGCATGACATTTCTGTACTCCCTCCGTCCCTAAATTACATTCCTCTTTCTCTCTATTATGTGAGGAATAAATGCTAGAAAAAGGAATGTAATTTAGGGGCGGAGGGAGTAGTAAAAATAGCAAGTGTATATGTTGGCCAAAATTAATTTTGGTAGTCAAACTACAAATTGAATTAAGATTTGGCGAGAGTCATGGCCTAAAATGAGAACAAAAAATCAACCTATTAAGGGCATGTTCATATTTACCGAGCTAAATATTTTATGAGAGAAGAAAATTAAGAGCTAAACTGAACTGAATTTTATGAGAGAAGGAAATTAGGGGCTGAGGTGAACTGAATTGAAATTAAGCTGAAGTGAACATGCCCTAATTAAATCACCCTTGGATCACCAAAATTGGAAGATAAATATGCTTATGGTGTCATTAATAACATTTTCGTAATATTGCATCTTTACAATCTAGTTCCAGTTCCATTACTTTTTACTCAATTTCATTGTTTTTGATTTTACGTTCATTGAAATTTGTTGTCAAGGCAGTTAATTGTTGACTAGTGAGTTTCTTCATTACATGCTGAAACTATAGTGTAAAAGATTAACAGAGTTTATAATTTGGTATTTACTCTAGAAAGAATCTAAGATAGATAGCTCTCATAAGTAAATTTAAGCCTATAAAAGCACAAGAATAAGAAATTTAATTATAAACGTACGCTTAGGGCCTGTTCTCATACGTTGAAATTCAGTTCAACTCAGCTCCTAATTTTCTTCTCTTATAAAATATTCATTTCAGCTCGGCTCAGTTCACTCAATGAGAATATGCCCTTATTTGAATTGAAAATTATTTTTTCCAACATCGCAAGCAATAATTTATTACTTAACTAGAATAAGAAAATTTCAGGGAAACATTTGCAAGGCACTGGAGATGTTACATCTGATGCATATCACAATTACAAGGTGTCAAAAGTTCTACTCCATATTACATGTCTTCTGTGTTATTAATTACTACGGAGTATAATATCATTGTCACACTAATTTTAAGTGTCTGCATTATAATTGACAAACTTTTTGTGTTGGATGATTGATCTTTCTATTCAGAAAGATGCCGAACTCATGGCAGAAACAGGATTAGAGGCATATAGATTCTCTATCTCATGGTCAAGGCTAATACCGGGTAAAAAAGTCAAATCCTTAAGGTGTTAATGATGAATTAAATCAATCTACTAATTTGAAGTTGATTTCTTGATATTATCATATTACTTTCAGATGGCAGAGGACGTGTTAATCCCAAGGGTTTGGAATACTACAACAATCTAATCAATGAGCTCATCAATCACGGTAAAATCTTATATATTTAAGTTCATATTAATATAGAGCATTACATTGGTTGTTGTATGTATCTTTAACTTGAATTGGATAGCATAGTTATGGTTTCTATTCATTCTGCAGGGATCCAACCACATGTTACATTAATGCACTTAGATACACCACAGGCGTTGGAGGATGAATATGGAGGATTTATCAATGTGAGGATTATGTATGTGTTTCTTTAATTACCTCGGTTACAAACTGTTTTCTTTTAGTAAAAATGTGTTCACTTCATGTTTAAAGATGCTACACCTTTTCCTCCATGTAGCCAATGAATGCTACCTGGATGATCGACGTTTATTACTATAGGAAGGGTAGTGGTTGGCATGAGTTTCTGATATTGAAATGTTGAAACAGAGAAGATTTCACTGCATATGCTGATCTTTGCTTTAGAGAATTCGGGGACAGAGTTCTTTATTGGACAACTATCAATGAGGCCAATATATTTGTTTTAGGGGGTTATGATATTGGTAATTCACCTCCTGGTAGATGCTCTAACCCTTTCGGAGTTAATTGCACGAAAGGAGACTCAACAACTGAGCCATATCTTGCTGCTCATAACATGTTGCTTGCTCATGCATCAGCTGCTTCACTTTACAAGGAGAAGTATCAGGTTTGACTAAAAGAAACATTTATTTCATAATCTAGACATACATGGTTTTTTCTTGATCATTTTCGCTTCCTTTATGCTATATTATTAGGCACATTTTCATTGTGCTTTGATTTGTAAGTCAAAACAATCACATTGTTTATTTATGCAGGCTAAACAACTCGGCCAAATAGGGTTCAGTCTCTATACCTACCATCATATTCCTTCAACAGATTCGACTGAAGATGTGATTGCAACACAGAGAGCTCGTGAATTTTCTATTGGCTGGTAATTTCATATGTAGCTGATGTTAAATGCCATGGAGCTTAATACTTTGTGTTTAGACTCAAATTAAACGGGGCGTGTTAAGTGATGTATGTTTCATTGCCAGGTTCATGCATCCCTTAATGTATGGAGATTACCCGAGAATAATGAAGGAAAATGCTGGCTTCCGGATTCCTGTTTTCACCAAAAAACAATCGGATTTGGTGAAAGGATCATTCGACTTTATTGCAGTAAATTACTACACTGCTATGTTGATCTCACACACAAACCTTACCCCGGAGCCAAGGGATTATCTAGCTGACACGGCAATAAAAAGTGTCTGTATGTCTTATAAGACCGACTAATTTCATTTCATCAGTTATACATAGTGATCTTACTGAATAAAATGTCACAACACAGAGATTGTTGGACTGATGAATAGGCTGAAATTCCTATATTACATATCGAATTATATGTATAAGCTGATCTTAATTTCATCTTTTGCAGATTATAATTATACAAGTGATTCACCAACTGAAGTGGTAGGGAACTATATTTACCCAGTTGTGTTATGATTTCGCTATTTTCATTGATCGTATAATACATTTTACCTTTTTCTCCCAGACTACGTTCCCAAATATACCATGGGCTCTGCAAGGACTTTTGGAATATTTCAAAGATGTTTACAATAATCCTAAGATTTATATATATGAATATGGTTCGATATTAGTTCTCTTTCTACAAAAATTAAAGACATTCATACAAATTACTTGATCATATGTTCATAACTATATTTATTAACTGAGTTTTGTTATGAAATTTCCTGCAGGTCAAGTGACAGAGCATCGTACCACAGTATATGATTTATCGAGAGTAGAGTATTTGCAAGCTCATATTGGAGGTGTGCTCGACGCTGTGAGGTAAGATTTATATACTAGGCATCAATTTTCTGAATCAAAATGTGAAAATGAAGGCGAAGGAAGTAGAGTATGAATGCAGATGACAGTTCTGCTAAACCTCAGTAATCAATCTGTCTATAACTGAGCATAATCAACTATGATTACTGATTTACTACATATACCTATTAAAATAGGCGAGCTTCCACACTAAAACCAATTAACAGTAGTAGGAGTAGCTCCTTTACCTTATCAAGTGGAACCACCTCTCCTCTTTCTCCAATGTGGGACACTCACAAGTAGACTACAATGGGTTTCAACAATTATATCGATCAATGCATCAGTCTGTCGAAATCCACATACAACTTTCTGATTTCTTGGTGTTCCTCAATTTGTTTGCAGAAATGGATCGAATACAAAAGGGTACTTTGTTTGGTCATTTGTGGATCTATTCGAGGTGTTATACGGCTACAAATACAGCTTTGGTCTGTACTATGTTGATTTTCATGATCCAAAACGGACCAGGTATGCTAAGCTGTCTCAGAGATGGTACTCAGCATTCTTAAACGGGAAAAATGTATCTGTAAATGATGAAGGCAACCAACCACGAAAAAGGTCGACCATCTTTAGGACTACTCCGGAATTGGATGATGGGTTTTGGAGTTAAGGTCTCTATACTTTGGACTACTTAAGTTTCCTTTGTATTTTTAATTTCAATCACCCTTAGTAGAGAACTAGCTCGTGGTGAACTATGAGAGGGCGAATTGGTAATTCTGTTTAATTGAGCAACCTCCATTCCATTCTCTCCTCTCTAGCTCACTAGAGAACTAACTCGATCGATTACATTTAGCCTTATTCCACATGTAATAAGTTTATCCTGCTCTCTTATTCTTTACCTCTATTGAGCATAGCCTTGCATTAATATCCACGGAGTTGATCGAGTCTCCAGATTAGAATAAAAGCTTTCAAGTGCATTATATTGTACCATGTCACGTAACATGTACATACATACATTTTGTGCATTATATGAGAATACTTAGCACCTTAGTGTTTACCTTTGCCCTCCTCTTTACCCGATGGGGAGGGTGAGCCTCTAGCTAAACAGGCAAACATCCACGCACCCAATAATTTACAATGCGTGGTTCCTACACTCAGTGTACCATCTGAATTTTGAATTTCAAATTTTAAAATTTTAATTTCATTTTCAAAATGTTATTATCCAAAATACTATATTTAGTTTCCTTTCTTTAATATATATATATATATATATATATATATCATATTTTTCACCAATCTTTCAAAAAAAATTTAATTATAATATTTATTTTAATGATTGTTCTGTGTACTTTTAGGCTCTTTATATGACTATATAATGCTCTTTATATAAAAAATAATTTTTATTCTCTAAAATTATTTCACCTAAAAATAACTTAAGATTTCGTTTTTAAATTTCAAATATTAAATTTATAAAATTTCGTTTTCAAAATTTTAGTTTTCAATAATTTAGGATTTTTTTACTTTTACCACAAAAAAAAAAGAGCGAAATTGTTTTTTACTACCAAAATTTTGAAAGTTTTATTTTACCACAAAAAAAAAAATTAAAAATTGTTTTTTACCAACTGCCGTTAAAAACCTAACGGAATATTTTAAAATTTTCGTTTTTTTGTGCCAAACACATCATATTTAGGGGTTTTGGGGGGCATTTTGGTAGGAATCGACAAAAAATGATCGAAAATGCTTCTTTTTGTGCGTTTAAAAATACCTCGGTTTGCGTGAAACACGCAAAACGAGGCATTTTCGATCATTTTTTTGTCAATTCTAACTTCAAATTGAACCCGTAGGGCCAAAATGCCCCCTAAACCTATGAACAGTATGTTTTGCGCACGAAAATCAAAGAGTTTTTCTTTAAACCGTTAAATTTAACGGTTTTCTTGACGGTAGGTGGTAAAAAACAATTTTTAGAAATTTTGTTGGTGGTAAAATACAACTTTTAAAATTTTTTGTAGTAAAAAATAATTTCATGATTTTTTTTGGTGGTAAAAGTCAAAAAATCCTTTTTTTAAAAAATTTTTATATTTCGTTCATATTTTTCACCTTTACTATATATAGTTACAATTTTCATTTTAGGGATGGTATATATAAATTTTTTGTGATGTTCTATATGTGATTTAATAATGTTCTCTATTAGAAAACATGATGTACTTTATAGTTGTTTGTAATGTACAATTAATTTTTAAAACTATATCTTTTTCCATATGTCCATAATTATATCATATAATGATTTTTATTAGATTTTTTGACAGTTTATTTTAATTGTCCTTGTCCATGTTTTTTTTATTGTAATTACAATGTACTTTTATCGTCACATAATGTTCATTGCTTATTGTAAAATGTTCTTTGAATTTTGTCTTTGGATCATGGTAGGCATATATATAAGTTATGTTCATTGCATAATATTATCATGTTCTTTAATAATATTACGGATATTCTTTAGATCTGAAAAACAATCATCAATAGAGGAGATCTCAAAAGAATATCGTCATCAACCTTCACGATCCTGATTTTTAAAATATATATACGTAGTTAGTGATTATTAATATTAAAAAATATATGTATAGAATTAATAAGTGATATATTATTTAAAAATACAAAATAAATCAAAGAACATCAAAGCAAAAAACATAAAGGATAAAAATAAAGAACATTCATATAATTGTTCAATAACTATAATGACGAACATATGTACAATTTATAAAGAACACCATCGATCAACATTTGACAAAATATAAAAAACACCATCTTCAACCTTTGACAAAATAAAAGAACATCATATTCAACCTTTGTCATATGGATCTCAAATTCATAAATATCAAAATTAAAAAAAAAAAACAGCGATATTTTACAATAATTGTGCAAAATAATAACGAAATATAATCAACCTAATAAGTAAAATCCTGAAATTAAAATATTAACAAATAAAATCAAATTACCTTCTCCGATCCATCGATTACAATGTTATCTAATTTACTCTGTATTTTTCTCTCTGCAAAATTCTTTATAAACTTTATTGTCTCTTAATTCGAAATTAAAATATGGTGAAATTTAATTTTGAAAGTTATGCAAAAATGGAGAATATCATGTTGAATCCCATGAATTGTGGAAGACATTGATTTTTTTTTTTTAAATAACAAACTGATAGCTTGCAATTGAAATGTTAAAAACACATCATTTAACACTAGGTGTACCATGAGCATGGTACACCCTGGTGTACTATATAATTTTCAATAATCTGGATCTTTTACCAAAATGTCTAATTTGACAAAAATATTTATCAAAACGGCTAATTCTAAAATTTAATTCCCAAACTAGCTAAATTTATTGATTTGAAAGGATATTATTATTTTTTATATTCCTTTGAACCGATTCCGTTCACTTTATGTTTTAATTTGTTTTATTTAAAAAGAATTAATTTTATTTTATTTAAATTTAGGTTTTACTTAAATTCTAATGTCATAGTTTAAAACAACTCATTAATTTGAACAATAACAATCAACCTAATATACATGTTGCAATTCTCAATTTTTAAAAAAGTTACAAAAAATAAACAACCACTTAAAATATCCATATTAGCCGACATTAACAAAGTGTATACAATTAATAGACATGAAAAAGATGAACAATACTTTAAAATCCCTTATCGTCGTATAAATTTGCAGTAGTCTTGATAGAACAGTACTACTTGAAATTCCAAATTTTTGTGATTGATATGATCAAGATGAAAAATTAGGGCTTTTATTTATTTTTATTTTTTTTATTGAAATTAGGGTTCTGCGAGTCTGCAACGGTTTACGTTCTTCATAGTTTTGTATACTAGAGTGTACCCGTGCAAAATGCTATTATGGGTTTTACTTTTCCAAAGTTATAAAGGTTACCCATTCAGTGTTATAGGGGTTACTCGTGTTACTCAGTTAGTGTCATATGGGTTAGCGTCTTGCTGTAGGAGTTACATACTTTGTTCTGTTGCAAGTAGTTATTCGCTGAGGCCAGTTGCACAAAAACGTGCTGTACATTTTCCTTTTGGTTTTGATGATTAAAGAAATGGAAAATGTTTGGAGGGTAGTCCCTAAAAAAATGCATATAATTGAAGGGTTGGGGATTTAGAGTACCGTAATTGAAGGGTCGGGGATTTAGAGTACATGTTTTTTTATATGTTATACTACGTACAAAAAAAAACACACACACACACATAAAGTGACATGTTAGTAGTAGTCCCATAAAAAATAAAAAAAACAAAAAACAAAAAACAAAAAGAAAAACAAAAAAGAAAGGGTGAATGAGTAGTTTTTGTTTTTTTTTTAAAAAAATGATAAAAAAAAATTAAAATAAAGTAGTGGGATTGGTAGTTATTTTTTCCTTTATTAAAAAAAAGAAAAAAAAATCTCAAATGCATGAGAGTTGAGGATTGGGGATTTGGAGGGCTCTCGTTAAATGACTCTACAATTATAATATAGATTGCTTAAATTTTTCAACTTAAAAAAAATCTCTAAGGAAATAAAAATAAAACCAAAAAAAAAAAAAAAAGAAAGTGAACAAAACTGGTTCAATGGAAATAAGAAATATATAAATTCCTTCCAAGTTAATAAATTCAGGGATCTTTCATAAAAAAAGACTTATAAATTAGCTAGTTTGGGAATTAAATTTGATAATTAGCCGTTTTGGTAAATACTTTTGTCAAACTAGCCGTTTTGGTAAAAGATCCCAATAATTTTGAAGATTCAAATAAATTTATTCTTGATTCACACCCGCTTTAGAAATTTTGGCTGGTAAAGTTAGGGCGTGTTCGGCAAAATATAGCTGTGAAGGTAGTTGTAGCCGTGGAGTTAACTATTAGTTGTGTAGGTAACGGTTAGCTGTCAACAAGCTATTAGCTGTGAAGATAAATAATTTAGATATGAGTGTTCGGTAAAGTAGCGGTCGACTAGCTATTACATATATAAATCAGAATTTTATTTTTAAAACTATAAAAATAAATTTTCAACAGCTACCTAAAAAGTTACCTCTAGTTTTAAAAGCTAATCTTTCTTACTTTTCATAAAAGTTATCTCTACCACTAAAAGCTATACTAACCACTACTTTGTCAAACCCTCACCCTCTAATATCAAAACGCCAGTGTTTTTTTTTTTTTTCATTTGTTTCTGTTTTCTTTGTTCACTAAGATATAATTTTATTTTTATTAGTATTTAGAGAGCCACAAGGGCGAGTGATAAGAATCAATCCTAAAATCACCTAAAATCGGTAGAAAAGGAAGAGATTTAACCACTTAAACTATCCCTCACTCTCACAAAAATATAATTATTTGGCCTCCTATAGTCCTATTCATTACTCACCTTTCGAGTTTGGGCACACAGATTTGAAAGTAGTTGTGTTAATTGCGGACGGCATTTGTTACCAGGATATTGTGCATCTAAGGTTGATTATGTCTCCGTACCACTGTGCAACTAGTACAACAAATCTTTAACATCTCCCCAATTAAATACTTCCTCCGTTTTATTAATATTGAAACAAGGAGGAAATTACGCATTCCTATGCACATTTGATATGCTAAATATCTATAATTGTGTAAGGGTAAAAAATATAAAAAGTTGATATTGTGAAAGTATTTTATGAGACGAATCCAACAAGATCCCACATGACTATATTTTGCTTAACGTATAAATCATATTATATGGTCAAACAAGAATGATGAATAATGCTAAAAGTCCATTGTTACAATATTAACAGAACAGAGGAAGTATTATATCTTGGATTTTAGGATATTTTTACCAACATTAAGCACATGCATTTTAAGTGATGTAACTTAAAGGGTTCTTGATTTCCAAACTCGAGGATAAGGTGTCTAATTTTTGTGGAATTCCTTTGGATTCTAAATAAATCACCTATGCTATGGTACATGTAAATTTACTTTTGAAAGGTTTGAGCATTATTTGTTTTATGATAAAAGTTCATACCATTATTGTAGTGATAAAATCATTTTAATGTCGGTGTGTTAGCCTTGTCAAAATCCATACTTTGAAGTAGTGATTACTATTTAACCTTTTGAACTCCCTATCTTCTCTAAATTTTGGTGACAACATGTTTGATAAAAAAAAGACATAATTATATTATATAATATACTATTTTTTTTTTTTAAAAAAAGGCTAGATTTGGTTTTTGTTGTCTAATTGGCTAATTAAGAGATTAAACAACAATGATATGTTATGTCTTGTGTGATTAAGGACAAATAACATACCAACCAAACATCTAAAAGTGCTATATTAGCATAAAACTCTCTTTTAGTAGCTAAAAGCTTTGAATTGAGAGAAAAGGAGTTTGTACTTGATTAGACTCTCCATCCTTCGACATATACAATTGCATAGGAATGAATAAAGGAATGTACATGTTCATCTAGTAGTTCATTTTTTAACATTTGTGCTATACTTTGACATTTTAATCTATTCACATGCTTTATTTTGAATTTTTGAGGAAAAATTGGTCTCAACACCCTGAATTATAGCTTGGGTATAACCAACACACTGAACTTTGAGTAGTAGCTAGAATACTGCCAATTATTGATTGAGGTACGGGTGAAACATGTGTCATCAATTACCCTTTGGTTACCAGAATTGTCTCAATTTGAGTGCCTAAATTACCCATTACTGATTTACTAGCACGCATTGCACCCCAATCAATAGTTGATGGTGTTCTACTAGTCAAATTTTAAGGTGTTGGATGTACTCAAGCTATAATTTAAGGTGTTGAAGCCAATCTTGCCTTATTCTATAAATATACTTTATTTAGATATTTTTTGTTATAAATCAATTGTTAAGATTTCACATTATGTTGGATTTGACTAATATATATATATATATATATATATATATATATATATATGTATATATATATATATATATATATATATATATATATATAGTTATCAATATTTTTTTTTTTTATTGAGATATATATGCTTAAAGATAATACTTGTCAACTTTACGCGTTAATAGTCATGTCCAATAAAAAAGGAGCAACAATGTTAAACAAATAATAGGATATTAATTTATCGAAAAAACTAATATCATCCTCATTTCCTCATTATCCAAAACTCGAAACGTACACCATAATAGAGAGGTAAAGATAAAGTATGAAAAGATGGTGATACTAGATGAGAGATAGATAAAGAAAGATGTGTCGTAAATTTGACAGTTAGTACTGTGTCTTGTAATACCCTAATAAGCCATGCATGTGAGGAAGGTGATCCAAGCCAGCCTACAGAGGTAGTTACGTTGTTAATTGTTAGCCTTTCAAAGTCTTATGTAATGCCTCGGATGCTTGTTTTCTTTAAACAAAAGATAAACGATTTGATGTATGTTTTATTTTGTTGAAGAATTTATGTCTCTTATTACCAACTGATTAATTTATATACCCCCCTCAACTACAACATATTATATTATTTTCCACTTGATTCAATGAATGTACATAATATAGTAGGGGTTTTTTCTTTTAAAAAAAAATCAATTATGTATTTTAATAAATTAAAGTGACATAAGAAATGTCTGCAAAGAAAATCTAACTTCAACAAACACAGAAAATTGATTCAAATAAATTAAAATAAAATGATCAATGAATAGGCTTGCAATGAATTGTGGTACATCGTGTCGCTGGAATATATATCTCACACACATATATTTATTGAATCCAAAAATATCTTTCGCACTTATTGCTAGAATATACATACATCTCAGGCACTTATATAATGATCTAACAATTTGTTACAACAATGGAGATGGATAAATTTCATCTAGTTGATTCATTTGAACATATTTGAAAAGTTATTTGATAGTTATTGGGATCCCACACAAATCTTAACTAGGCCAATGAACTTATTTACACGCAAAACATAAGAGACTTTTTAATAAACTTAACATGCACAATTGCACATTACTTTACTTTTGAAGCTTAATTTAGGATAGTAAACGATTCCTTTCTATTAGTACAGCACTTATCTAACTAACTTTAGGATTCCTATTATGTTAAATTATTCATTCGTTCCTTGCCATGGTCATTTATCATTATGGGGATGTTTTATAGATAATGGAAATGTTCATAGTCCAAAGAAAACCCTATTATGTCGAAGCTTAATTTAGGATATGGAAATGTTCATAGTCCAAAGAAAACCCTATCATGTTGAAGCTTAATTTAGGATAGTAACTTATTCATACAAAATTTTAAACCTAGCTAATATGAAAGTTAAGTTAATATAAATATAACTATATGCACTATGAGCATTTTGAATCCAATTCAACCCGTGTGATATGATAAGTTCTAGTGCATTTTTGGTACAATGAGGTGCTAACAAAGGTGTCTATTAGTACAAACACTAGCTATATGAAAGTAAAATTTCGAAACTATTAAATAAATAATAATGGTATATAGATACTATAAATCTGTAACAATAAATTATCTAATTAGTATCAAAGATAAGCTAAAAATGCCAATATAGGTCACTTGAGGAGTTGAGTCCAACTTTGAATCTTTGATACAAGCCAAGTAATGACATCTTTTTTTTAAAAAAAAAAAAATCCTTTCAGTACGAGTAATTTTACATGGAATAAATATGACCAATTATCACAGATGATTTGTGTTGGATCTTGTTTCCTAGAAATTAGGGATTTTGTTGTTCATAATTGATGATACTCCCTCCGTTTCATAATGTTAGTCTCATATATTATTTTGGGCGTTTCAAAAAGATCAACCCATATTGAATGTAATTTATAACTTGATTTTTTTCGAATTAATTGATTGTGGATCGATGACAAGACTCTAAGTAAGGAAATATTTACCTTAAATTATGCAATTATGACTTGTGTTTTCCTAATAAAAAATCAAAAAATTTGAATAAGGTAAACTAATTATGAATTATGTTGTACTTTAATGTTAGATTTCAAATATTTTTTTTCTTATTTTATGTGATTGATTCCATATGAGACTAACATTATGAAACAGAGAGAGTATTGTATAAGGCAGATTTACATCAATTTTACTATAAGTCAATTTGATGGTCATTAATTTTAACTAATTTTATGATTACCTTTTTTTTTTTTTGAGGGGAATTTTATGATTACCTTAATTCCTTTAAGGATAACTTATAATTTGTAATGAGTTTAATCGTATTTTAATTAATGTGTAATTATTAATTGATACATACTATGAAAACTAATATGACTAATCTCATACTCTATAATACTCCAACTATCAAGGGGCATAAAATATGGTGTTTCAACTAGGTTTTTTTTTTTTTTTTTTTTTTTTTTTTTTTTGGTGTGTGTGTGTGTGTTCCACCTGGTTCAACCTTTAGGCTAATCCGAATTTGGAGATCAATTTTGGGTGGTTAGGTTTCAGTCCCCTCTCAATTGTTGTTGCGGGGGATCGAACACAAGTCCTCCTTACCAAGTATAGTCCTCAATCACCACTACACCAACATTCACATATTGCTTCTTCAAGTTAGTCGGAGCTTGAAAAAATATTCAAAGCTTATGTTTTTCAGCCGTGAGGGTCGTTGCCACCTCTAAGGGTTCCGAAGGAGAAACGCCATCTAATTTCATAACTTCTTCCAACACCTTATTCACATCATCATCCATTTTTTGCTTCCTTTATTCGGCTTTGAACCATGAATTTGCCATATAGTGCCAAGAGTTGCATTTATGCCCTCAAAAATTTTCCCAAAAGTTTTAGAAGTACTACAAAGAGAAACTACTAACTCTTAACATCATCTACCTTTTGATGTATCTTTGCTTTTTCCTTCATTTCTTTCATCTTAGCTTTCTTGGAAGGAGTATTATCAACCTCGCTCTTTCTTCATTGGGACTTTGGGAGCTTATGGGATTGAGTTGTTGATTGAGTGGAATGGGTAGAATGAGTAAAATAATATTAATTTATTTATTAAGTTATTTCTAACAAATTTTAATTTCATATATTCTTACCTTATATTTTTAACTATCAATTTTCTAATATTTTCATAAATGTATCTTGATTATGGTAGTAGGACATAAAACTTTCAAATAATGTCATGAAAAACTCATAAGACACTATCATTGCCCTTGCAATAACGTGGAGAGTCATTTTCTTGCAATAGTTATTTTCAAATTTCAACCATAATTAAACATAAGCAGTTAATTAATCATTCAAAAACATAAACAAATTTTAACCCTCTTATGAAACTCTAAAATCATCCATAAACAACAAATAGCATAACCTTAACATAAGTTTTGTTTTTTAAAAAAAAGGGAAAAAAATAAAATAAATACATATGCCTAATTCATACATTGCATATTATACAAGACTTGATTGACAAGTAATCGTTACACTTTCTTGGAGCCGTTGCTGTATCATCATCTTCTATGCAGCTCAAATCATAGCATCTGTATAAAGATGGGAACATTTGTTGAGGTGAATGTTCATTTATATTTGAAAATATTATATAATGCAATTAACTAGTTTTATGACACATGCGATATACTAGATCAATATATGTTCACTAATATGTGGTTAACTATATACAAAAGATAACATTAAATATTGGTATTATATGATTTTGAGATTAAGATCAAATAATGTAAGTTTAGCATGTTTAATATAAAGTGAAAACTACAAAAGGTGAGATTTGATACCACGTTCAAGGGAGTGCATCTCAACGCATAGGTCCTATATGTTTTGTAAATGTATAGGAGGGCAAAAATGTAAATTTGACAAGCTTTTGGAAAAATACTGATTTTATAGTGGTACATTATAATGTACTATTATTTATCATTATGCATGTATAATGTACTATTAAGGTATAAGTTGTCTAAATACGTTGTAGTAATTTTTGTGTAATATTATGCATGTTAGTGGTACTTTTTACCATCCTATAGGTTGAATATTTTCCCCCAAAATATTTACCACCTGTCACGCACTTATTATACATGTAATGGTACATTTTTCATCCTATATGTTTGCTAAATCAATAGGAGCTATGCGCTAAGGGTTAACCTGTTCAAGGAGGCATGAAATCCAACAAATAGGGTTAGATATAAGTATCTAACTATATATGGATGAAATATTTTCAATTATATATTAATGCTCCAAATTTCATAAAAGATTTCTACATCCATATTTTTCATGTCTTGTGCATATACTTTTATTTTGCCGACACTTTAAATTTTTATAATTTTATATCATAGATATTTAACACTAAATAGAAAAAAGGTGAGATATAAACTTCAATCTTTACAATGTTTTTTAACCCCATAAAATCCAATTTTTAAAATTTTTTGTGGAAATAAAGGTTTTTATTTTTTTATTTTTTTAGTGTTAAAAAACAAATTCGAGGTTTTTGTAGTGGTAAAAATAAAATTTTCTTACTATTAATATTTATACATTTCCGCAGTTTTTTTTTCAAATCATATGCAAGTATAAGCTTTAATCATATTTATCATACTGATATATGATGATAAATTAAAGTAGTTGTTATTATGTTAATGAGTATATATATAAATGATTTTGCATGTGAAGGAGACTAAATTAGAAAATGTATACGAATTTGACCATTCCTAGCTTTTTTTTTTTATTTTTTTTTTTTATTTTTTTTTTAACGGGACCATTCCTAGCTTGGATATTAAATTATTGATAAGGGATAATAAGATAGGAAAGTTACATTAATAAAATTGTACTTTCTTTTTTGTAGACAATGTACTTTAATTTGTATAGTTTTACTTGAGTTGTTGTAAGTATGTTGGACATTGCATGCATGAAATTGATGCGTGTTCCTTTATTTCATACAACACGCTAAACACAAATTGGTCCTACTATAGATTTCTTCTAAGTAAACAGATAGAAAAAATCATCTAATCCAAACATATGAATACATTTGCAATTTGCAATAATGATTCTAAATGAGCTCCCACAACCTAAATACATTCAAAGGGTAGAAGACAATAGTAAATAGCTTCATCATCTAGCTTCATAGCTATTATGGATCATACAATTTATGTGGATCATATAAATTTCACACTACATTACTGGATCATATATTTTTAGGAGGGGCGGGGTACGGTGTCCCTCATATACATTTTATGTGGATCACGTAAATTTCACACTATACATACTACTAAATTTCACACTATATTATTATGCAATCAATATTTTTTGGAGGGGTAGGGTGTCCCTCATCCTTTGGTCAAAAGACTCTTAAATTGCCTTGATACAAACAACATTAAAATGGGAATCCAATCTGCAAGTGCCTATATGTCTAATTTAAGACCGTACAATATCAAACAGTTACCTTAATTTGTATGCAAAAAATAGATGTCAAGATTTTTGAAAACGAAGGTAGTAAGCTATCAACTCAGTTGTGGGGTATTGATCAAATGTATTTTCAATAATTAGTGACCAACTTAGCAAAGATTAGATCAAGAAGAATAGTCAATTTTGGGGATAAAACTACATAGATAATTTTATAGAAAAGCATGTACATGGCTTAGATTCAATTCATTTCTTTCTTTTTTACCTAAAAATATAAAATGGATCCATTAGATTTCACCCTACAAAATAAGAATGGTTCAGTCAATCTTGCAAAAAATGTGGAACATTTTTAATAATAAATCATAAGATTTGGATTTATACGTAACCATAAGATTTTTTTTTTTTGGTGTTCTACCCGATTTAGCAATAATTAATGTCTCAATTCAATTATCCAAACAAATTATATAGATAAAAATGATTATGACATGACTACTTGATTATGAAATAAGTTAATTTGACAACATATACTTATATATTATGATTGACAAAATAAACATGCATTAATATGTATAATATAAATAGGTAAATAATACAGCTAGAAGATTAGACATACCTTGAATGAGAAGCAATGAAGCTAACTCGTTATTGGCTGCATCTTGATCATTTATGGGGTCCCTAAGACCATAGCTTGGATCCATATGCATGTCTTTTTGAGTCTTTCCTTCGAATTCCGGGTGAATCTTCTTTTTCATCATCCTTTTCATAAGCTAAAAATATTTATAGCAATTTTTGATTAATTATTATTATTATAATTAAAAATTTCATGAATTATGATGACTTAAATGGCATCCAAAGACATTATGCACATCCACTTTTATTTTTGGTTATTGTCAAATTATAAGTGTCCTTGTCTAAAGTAATCTAATTCGATTTTTGACAATTATACTGTTACTGCTTTTGTATTTTACCAACTCGTTTTGATGGTAATAGTAGAGGTAATAGTAATGATTTAATTAAAACTCCATCAATTCATTACGGCCCCTGTTATCTCCATCTTAAAAATATAATATTAAGTAAAAATAATTTCAGTTGAGTAAAAATAAGTTCAGTTCAATAAAATTAATTTCAGTTCAGTAAAAATAATTTCAGTTCAGTAAAAATAAGTTTAGTTCAGTAAAATTCAGTTTTCTTAAAGAAGAATTATAATAGAAAATCAGTAAAAAATAATTTCAGTTCAGTAAAAATAATTTAAGTTCAGTAAAAATAATTTCAGTTCAGTAAAATTAAGTTCAGTTCAGTAAAAATAAGTTCAATTAAGTAAAAATAATTTCAGTTCAGCAAAATTAAGGTGAATCAAAGAGGGCCTACATACTATTGCCATCATTTATGTCTATTCATTAAATGGATTGTAAAATACTTAATGTTTTTAATTGACAATTTGACATCTAATTCAAAATGCTACTCCGTATTTTACTAATCCCTTTGTTTTAATATGATACTCTCATATGGAATCAATCACATAAAATAAGAAAAGAATAATATTTGAAATCTAAATTAATTTACAAAATTGTTTAAAATTAATTTTTTTCTTATTTTTTTTTTTTTTTTTTGTTGGAAAGTATTAGTCATAATTGCATAATTCAAGGGTGGGATTTCCTTACTTATAGCCATGATATCAATCAACAATTAATTAATTTAACCAATTATAATTTAATATGTGTAAAATAGGAAATAAAAATTAAGTTTAAAATGGAATATATTCAATATGGATAGAGCTTTTTAAAACGCCTAAATTAGTATATGGGACTAACATTATGAATGGAGGGAGTATTATAAATCAAAATAATTAGTTCATTTAATTTATATTTATTTAACATACTTTTGAGATGTTTTTGTCGTCTACTATTTCATAAAGTTAAGAACCACTTAGTGAGTAAAATTAGTTAGTTGTAACTAAGAACTCAAAATTAAAATAGCTTGATAAACTACAACTAACCTTTTGACTTTCAACTTAAGAAGGATTTCCAGTAAAAAAAATAAAATCAAACTTTCATAAAACGCAATTTTCAGTCAACCAAAGGATACCTTTCTATTCAATTAGCTAGCTAATCCTTTTCATTAGGCTTTGCTAAACTTTTCTACTACCAATCCTAACGTTCTGCTACCTTTATAGCTAACAAGTATCTTATCAATTTTCAGGTATCAATTTCGTCTAATAACTTATCAATTTCAACTATTCTTGTCGATCATCCAGTTATTTCAAACCTTTTTACTATTATGTATCAATATATTCTAAACATGATTAGTATTATTCTAATGGTACATTAATACGACAATCAATTACTTCCAGGTGCCAACTATTTAAGTTATCAATTTAAACGACAGTTAATATGCAATTAAAAAAGTTGTTACCAAACAGTATGAAACACCATACTCTCTACTTTTTATTATTATCTATCTAATTTATAGTGAATTTAAGCGACAGATAATATGGAATAAGAAAAGTTCGTTACCTTGTTGAACTTCTTGAGTGGGTGCAAATCCTCCTTGATGAGCTTTTTGGCTTTAGAGATGCCATTTTTAGCACGAGAAGTCGGCTTCAAAGTCATCTCAAAGCTTAGTTTTCCATTGCTAGTATCATCCTTAACAAAAGCATCATCAACATAAACATCCTCTACCTCTTTCAACACTTTGACAGGGTGATAATCAGAGTCTTCTAAGAAAAGGTCAGCAAGAGTAACTCTCCTCTTAGTTTGTCCTTCATTCTCATTAACATCACAATTATTAGCATCTTTCAATTCCACAACATTTTCAACAACTTCTTCCTCAATGATCTCATGGTTAGCACCAATAACCTTCTCCAATTCATGGCTAAAAAACTCGACATTCATCAAAGGACTTGCTTCATTATCACATTCAATTTCATAGTTGTCGATATCAACATCATGTTCATTGACAATGTTAGCCATTTCGTGGTCACGAACATCATCTTCTTCCTCGAGCATTCCATACTTACAAGCCTCCAAGGGACTAATAGCAATAGTTCCAATGGATAGAATTCCATCATTCCAATGGTCGAGCATGTCGACTACCATATGAGCATCATTCCCAAGCAAAACATGCTTATCATTTTGTATCTTTGAGCTTGCACCTTTCTCTACTTCATCTTCTGCACCATTCATATTCATGTATATGTATTTTTGTATATTAGCATACTACATACATTTAAGTGGCCATTATTAAAGAAATTAAATTGTTGAAGTTTTTAACTTTCTACATGCCTTTATAGCTAAGAAATATAGTGTAAAACATGGCATGACATAATAGAATTTGTAGCATTTAGAAAATATAATATGTAGCATTGACAAAATAAAATAAATAATTTAGTTCCTTTGCATGATAACAATCAAATTTATATATATTATCTTATAATTGTCTAAACCCTTCATGCAATGCATGGAAGCTATCAATAATAACTATGTTACTCCCTATATAATTTAAAATCAAGCTATCATGTTGGTGGAAAAATGAAAAGTAGAGTACCTTGGAGAAAAGCCGTGCATGAATTAACATTCAGAAACCGCCGATGAACCCAATTAAAGACCTGAATAAAAGAAATGTCAGCAATTAGTCGATTTATTAGGTAAGAATGTTCAAAATACCATGAGCGCGATATTATAGTATTGTATAGAAATAGAAAAAACATCAATGAAAATGATTCATGAATTGTTGCATGGAGAGTAAAGACTAGTGAACTAACCTTCATTTTGTTTGTTGCCACTTTTGCTTTAGATGGTTGCAGAGTAAGGTAAATTTAAGTGTAGCTAAAAATTATTTTGGGTCAAAAAAAATTGGGCTAAATAAAAGAAATTTGATGTGAGAGAAAGAAGAGGTTAAAGGAGAATTGGGCCCATGGATGGGCCCATGGGCGCATGGTATGTTTTAGAAGAGTTTGTGTTGGGTATTTGATGGAATGATGTATATGTCAAGATTCTTGATGCGACTCTAAGCACGTGACTGACACCCTCTCTTCTATTACACTAATTTTCTACTTCTAGTTAACAACTGTCTATTTATTAGGCCTAATTTTAGCCCAAATATAATTTGGGTTTATTATTCATCTATATATATGGGTCATAATTGAAAATTTTACACTACACCCCGGTGTAGCTTCTGCTACCTACACCCCCCCTTTCCAAGTGACGTCATTTTGCACATATAATATTTTAAAACTGAACATATTTTATTAATAGTTGTAAATGAACATACAATTATTTATAATTGAACATTTAATTAAGGAGCACTATTATAGATGAAAAATGTATAAAATTTATAATTTTGTACTTGTTATTGAAAATTTTTGAAGGTAGCACACACTCCTTATTGTAATTGTAAGAATTATTTCCATGAAAACTACAACATAGCACACACTCTTATTGAAATTACTATTAAATTTGTTAAAATAACTAATTCATGATATAATTGGGTGCTTTAATTAGTAGTATAAAAATAAGCTTTTAAGTATATGCACATATTCATTTTAAAATTAATGCATTTACTTGTTGATCATGAATAAGAACGAAAATGAACATTTATCAATACGTAAATTAACATTTATATATATTGAAAATGAACATTTATCAATACGTAAATTAACATTTATCATCTATTAAAATGTGAATGACGTTATACTAACATATAAATGAACATTTAACAAAATAAAAATGAACATTTATAAAAAAAAAAAAAATAATAATAATAATAATAAAAAAAATAACTGCGAACTATAATCTTTGTTTCTCTTCTCTGAAACGGTTTCCTTCGCTCTGCAAACAAAACTGAAGAATGTACAGATATAATTTATTAGTTCTTCAATAAAAATTGCTAAGATTATAATATAATACTTACATTGATTTACATTACTATATATGTAAATGAACATTATGAATTTCATATATGATCAAAAGATTTCATAGTATGCATAAGTCAGTTTCTCAACTCACATGAATGAATATTTATGCATTTCATAAATGTGCATAACGTATCATAAAAATGAACATTTTTTATTTTGGCATATAAAGTCAAATATAAACTCAAATAGATTCAAATATACAAATGAACATTTATAATTCAGTATATGTTCATATATTACCTCGGAATTGTAGAAATGTTAACATCTATACCATAAGTTTTAATATCTTTTAAAAGTTCTTGATCTACAATAGGAGATTTTTACAATGATTGTGTAGTAATATATAAATAAATATTTGTATTAATCATTTATTAACATGTGAATGATTGTATACTAATATATAAATGAACATTTATCAAAATGAAAATGAACATTTATAATTTTTTTTTTTAAAAAAAAAACCACTACGAACTAATTTAATTAATGCTTACTTTTCTCCAGTTTTTTTTTTTGATGTTCTTCTCCGAAGCTATTTCCTTCATACTGCAATAAAAAAAATGAAATACTTCATACTCAAAATTCAAAATGTACTTGTTCAAATTACTAGTTTTAAAACTAAAAATAGTAAATGTTCCTGTAACATAATTGCAACAATAAATTATAAAAATTAGGGTTTATACTCTTTTTCGAATTAAATATGAACAAAATCACTTACTCCTTTGAATTTTGACCTTGATTTGTTGAATTATGTAGCAGTTGAACAACTTTTTTGGATAATTTGTCGCAAAGTTTGTTGAAAATTTTGGATTAGAAAATGCTGAAAATGGGTGTAGAGAGAGAAAATGCTGAAAATGGGTGAGGAGAGAGAAAGTGAAAAAAGATAAATGGTGGTTTGATTTTTACTGTACAATTGCAGAAAGTGAGTATATGAGGGAGATTGTTAAACGCATCGTTTAGAGGGGGGTGTAGGGTGTGGTACCTACACTAGGGTCTAGTGTATACCAATTAGGTCATAATGTCACATACACTTGACTAACTTATGTTCTTTGCATTTCAATGTAAATTGAAAGTTCTATGAATTTTGCCATTTTTAAAAGATTATAGATGTATCTTTTTCAAAGAAGGGGAGATAATGTTTGTATTTTAGCTTAATTATTGAGTCAAGTACTAGTTTGTTTAAATGTGTTTCATGATAAAGATAATGTACTATACTTTCAATTTGTTTGGGGTGGATATGAGCTAGCTTTGATCCTTTAGTATAATATTGAGAAAACATAGTTGTTGAAAATGACTAGTTATTTTAATCAATTAGTCTCTTTATATTATATACTAAAATATAATGCACGCGATATGTACTTAATTTTAATAAATATTCATATTTAATCTTGTAGAACGATTACATGAATTGCCCATAAGTGCCTCTTATATGCTTTTAATCACAAATGATTAGTTGAAATTTTACAAAAATGTTGAAATGATCTATGTATAAATTTAGTAATATGAAAATTATCGTCACTTATAAATTTAATTATTTTTTCAATAAACTCTTTATTAATGTTATAGCTGCTAGATATATTATTAATAAAAAAAATTACTAAAACTTCTTAAAATAATAAGCCATAAATAATTATATAATGTCTTTTTTTTCAAAAGAAAATTGAATATTGAATATTGTGCTTTGCTAATACACAATCTAAATTATATTTTAAATGTTTTTATAAATTGTGGTATATGAATGAAAAAGATATAATATTTAGTGATGATCGATTTCACAATAACATATGATTTAAAAAAAAAATCAAATTTAAGACAAAATAAAAATAAAAAAAACTGTAATGTAATAATTTTAAATTGCTTGGCGTATTTATGTAAATGTTTTTTTTTTTTTGCTTTCTTATTAATGGAAATATGGAATAGTTATTTAGAATTTGAAAACTCACATTAATATGTAAAATTTCATTTATTCTTTTGGGTAACTTTTAGTGCAATTTAGGACTTAGGTAGCTCAAAAGTTGGACACAAACTTTTTACTCCCCCTCCCCCTCCCCCCTTATATTATAGAAATATACTACCTTGATTTCATATTATTTGCAACAATTTAACATATACTCTCCCTTCGTCCCTTATTGATATTCCCTTATTGCCAAATTTAAGTCCCAAAAAGATAGTGACAAGCGCACATTAGGGCGCGCTTTAAGGCATATAAATGGGTGATTTTGGATGTATTTAGGCCCGTTTTGGTCGTTTATTGCCTTGTTACACTCGTTTCCTTCATATTACGTGCTTCACGGGTTTCGATCTGTTTTGGTGTGTTAACAGGTATAGTTGACCAAGTTATGTCGAGTCCCGAACCATTGGTGCGTAATCAGGCTATTATCGATCCTAGTCCACCAAGCTAAGGCTTTGCTGCGGTTCTCAAGGCCTTGAAAGGCAAGTTAAGTAGCAGGCAAGGCAGAACAGTTCACAAATATGACACCTGTTCACTATTTTGCTCACAACTTTCGGTATACAAATGATAATGGAGTGATTTTAATTGCATTGGAGAGTAGACTTGAAGAGCTTTCCAACGATATATTGCACGCCTCAAACGGAGCTCTGGATAAGAAGTTGTGACTGTTTTAAGAAGACCAAAGTGCCTGCAACCTTCCTGCCTATGTTGCACGGCCGTGCCACTTTTAGCACGGCCGTGCCAGGCATTAGCACGGCCGTGCCAAGCCAATTTCCATACCCGTGCCGTGCCAGGCATTAGCACGGCCGTGCCAAATTCAGCACGGTCGTGCCATAATTGAAGATATTGCGGATCAGCTACTGCCATGCTTGCACGGCCGTGCCACTTCCAGCACGGCCGTGCCGATTCACGAAGGGCAGTCTGCGATTTACTTTCCGATTTAAAACATATATATATAGCCCGATTGTAAGGGTTAAGAGACAGTTTTTAGAGATAGTTTTGAGAACCTTTGTAGAGAGTTATTGGAGAACGTTCTTAGTATTAGAGATTCATTAGTTTTCTTAGAGATATTTCTAGAGATTTTAGTTTTCTTGGATTGATTTGAAGCAAGATTTGCGAAGATTCTTTGTATTATTCATTGACGACGGATATCAAAGTTCTGAACTTTTCCATTGATTCGCATCAATACAATTGGTATTATTCATTCTTGTTTATTAGTCAAGCTTTATTATTCCTTAATCAGAATTCATGTTTATATCTATTATGCTTTTGGAATTCATTATTGCTTTGATTATGAATATGTGTGAGTAGTCTCCTAGCTAGGGTTTCGGGATGAAACCCGGCCTAGGTAATCTATGTAATTGAGGATTGATTTTGATAAACGGATTGTGATTAAATTGATTATATGCGATTGCATGTTAATTCATTATAATAGGAGTAGCTAACCTAGAATCTTGAATTTGATTGCATGATATTCTTGATTTGAACAAGAGATTGTGAATTGAGTATTTCATTATTGAATGTGGTTTGATTATGTATCGAGTAATGTTAAGTGCATGAGAAATCCAAGCTTAGTATTGCCCGTTGTCTTCCTATCACATGATATTGATCAGACTTATAGTCTTTGCATATCCCGTTTGTCTCTGTGATTCCTTGTTGCTTAGTTACCAATGGTTAGGCGGATTCCCGTTCTCCCTAGTGTCTTAGTTTATTGATTTATTCCATCTTATTAGTAGTACTTTAGAACACCATTTTCCATTGATTTCGAACTAGCTTAGGTTTAAGATTGATTTGCAATTACTCTCGTTCCTCGTGGACCGAACCTTTATTTGCCATTGTACTTGGTTATAGGGTGTTCGTATAAGTATTGTTTGATTGAGAGTTAGATTGTAGTGACCGATTTAACCCTCGTCAAAATGGCGCCGTTGCCGGGGAGCGGTGTTTGTTAATTGC